TGGGTTATATAAGTTATCTAGATTTACGATGACAAGTGGCTGCTCTAGTCATCCGGCCAGTGTGATGGTTTGGGGCTGAGGTTACAGATGGGTGGTCACCATTGTTAACCCCACCTCCCTTCTTGGCTGGCCAATGAGCCTAGGGATCCTGGGAGGCCCAGGTGTGAGAAGATCCCGGACAGACCCTCTGGTGTCTGGACGCATGTGGGGATCGGTGGCTCATCCGGCCTCACACATCAGGGACTGTGGGGCCATCAGGCAAACCCAAATTCCAGAAGCCCTTCCAAAACAATGATTATAATATTAAAAACCAACCCACCCTCTCAGTGGACGGCATGGAGGCGCAGGAAAGAGCATCTGTGCTGTGAGCCATTAGGGTCCCTGACAGATGTGTGCCTCCCCCTCCCCCCACCAGCTGCAAATGAAGACCCGTCCTTTTCTTCTGCCCAGACAAGGATTGATGAGGATTTGGGAGAGCACTCAGACAGGCAAGGAAAGGCTGCGAACCTTTTCCAAGCCTGCAATTTATCTTGAGGAGACTATTCACATCACTCCTTACAGGCTGGATTCTGCTCTGACCTGGCACATTAATCTCGCCGAATAAAATAATAATAATCAGAAAAAGGGAGTTGGATAGTTGCCAGGGAGGCATTAATAACTGTCGCCCACACCTCGGTAGTGCAGGGAAGGGGTGCCGAATCCCATCCCCGCCCCCTGACCCCCAGCAGTGCCCGTCGAAGAAGATGGAAGTGAGGAAAACTTTGTCTGAACCTTGGGGGGATTTTCTAGAGATGGTGTATGGGGACATCGTTCCTCAGTCAACGCAGGAATTTCCCCAGGCAAATGCAGAGAACTTCCCTGGGAGGGAGTGTGGTCTAGTGATTCAGAGCGGTCCTGGAATCAGACTGCCTGAGTTCAAATCCCCACTCAGCCGTGTATAAGCTGCATGACCTTGGGCCTCTTAACCTCTCACTGCGCTTGTTTTTTCCTCTGGAAAACAGGGATAAAACTAGCACCTACCGGGGAATGTAAAATGGTATAGCTGCTATGGGACATAGTGTGGTGGTTCTTCAAAAAGTTAAACACAGAATTACCATGTGACCCAGCCATTCCACTCTTAAGTATTACCCAGAAAAACTGTGTTCAGAGATCCTTGTGCACACATGTTCAAAGCACCTCTATTCTCGATAGCCAAAAAGTGGAAGTAACCTGAATGTCTATCAAGGGATGCATGGATAAACAAATGCTGGTCTCTCCACACAATGGAATATTATTCAACCATAAAAAGGAATGAAGTGCTGACATCTGCTACAATGTGGATAAATCTTGAAAATAAGATGCTAAGGGAAATGAGCCAGACACAAAAGGTCACATAATGTATGATTCCATTTACATGAAATGCCCAAAAAAGGTAAATACATACAGATATAAAGCAGATTGGTGGTTGTCAGAGGGAAGGGGGAGTATCAGGTTTTCTCATGCGTATGAGGTTGGTTTTCTGCTGGGGTGATGAAAATGTCTTAAAATTAGATAGACGTGATGGTTGCCAGTGAATGTACTGAATGTCATTGAATCACACACTTTTAAATAATTACTGGTTAATTTTATGCTATGTGAATTTTACTTCGATTTTTAAAAACCCACAAAACAACAGCACTTGCCTTCTAGAACAGATGTCAGAAGAAAATGAATTAGAGCCAGGCCTGGCCCACATGAAGGCCTGATTCCACATCAGCTGCTCCTACTGCCACGGGCATTATTATGCTGGGGTTTGCGATCTCTGGCAAATTATTTAACTCAGTGTCTGCTCCGTGCAGGCAAGGAAGTATCAACAGTATCTACCTACCAGGATTGTTAAGATTAAACAAGACAATGTCTTCAGTAGACTATCAACTCCATGAGCATGTGGATTTTTGTCTACTTTGTTCACTGATATACCCCTGTGCTCAGAACAGTGCCTGGCACACAGCTGGCATTTAGCAACTGTTTCTTGAACAAGTGGCAGTGCTTAACTTAAACACGACCTGGTTCCTGGTAGCTGCTCAGCAATGTTTAGTTGTGTTTATTACTACTGGTCTGGCGGCTGTATCTTTTGAAGGCCCCTGCGTATTCCTTTCTAGCACAGGGAAGTGAGTACTACTTTGCCTTGCAGGTCTTGGGTGTCTTCACAACAGGGTGTCTGGACATCTACCAGACATGAGAGGTCTGAGCTGACTTGACAATGGAGTCTAAGCTCTCACTGCAGTTATAAGAGGAGGTGATGAGAGTTAGCGTAGCTAGCTAGACTATCAACTCATCCATTCACCCATCCATCTACCTACCTGTCCGTCCATCCTTCTAAATCTCCATCCAAATATCCATCCATCCATCTATCCACTCAACTCTCCATCCATCATCTAAATATCCATCCATCCATTCACTATCCATCCAACATCCAAATATCCATCCATCCATCTATCCACACAATCACTTGATGATCTATCTATCCACATATCCACCAACCTTCCCAGCTATCCATTCAGTTCACCCATTTACCTATACAGCCATTCATCCATCCATCTACTCCCCATATCTACATACAATGAACATTTCTGAGTGCATATCAGACACTGGTGATCTATCAACAAAGAAACCAGATGCATTCATTTCCTGCTGTCACAGAGGTTACAGTTGAGCAGAGCAGGCAGACAATTGAACAAGCAATTACGGTCAGAGTGGTGAGTACTGGAACAGGGGGAGAACAAGGTGTTAGGAGAGCCCCAGTAGGAGCACCATCCCTCATCTAAAGGGCAGGAAGATGTCTAAGAGGCTGTGATCTGTAGGAGGAGCGTGAATTGGTTAAGAGACAAGAAAGGAAAAGGGTCTCTGAGGTAGAAGGATCAGTGGGTAGGAGAAAGGGCAGCACAGAGCCGGCTCTGGAAGCTGTATGGGTTAGTTACTCAGCATCCCTGTGTTGAAGGTTTCTCATGTGGAAAACGGGATAAGAGCATCTGCCACATGTCAGATTGGGACTAGCTGGTGTATGGAAAGGAATGAAAGAAGTAGGGTCTGGTCTAACTGAAGCACAGGTTCCTCGTCTGTGGATTCAGCCAATCTCATGTAGAAAATCTAAGGACATGGGACTGCGGATGCAGAAGGACAACCATAAGTGGCTTGAGCATCCGAGGAAAATCCTGGAACCAACCCATCACAGATACTGAGGGGTGATTGTGCTCAGCTTTTCATTGGAAAGAGTTGATCATAATATCTCTCTCTCTCTCAGAGGGGTACTGAGAGCCTTACACAAGTCAAGGTGTAGAAAAGAATCTAGCAAGAAGCAGAGTGTACTAGGTGAAGAGTAACCATCCTCTGCCTGTTTTCCTTATCTTTCTCCCACAGCTACCTTGAGGCAGAGCTTGGGCCCTAAAGCTGAAGCTCTGGGCTGGAGTCCCAACCCTTACCACGTAACAGCTGCTTGTCCTTCTGTTTCATCATCAATGAGAGAAATAGTATCTCCCTGGGAGGAACTGAAGAGACTACAAAAGGAATTCATACATAAATTCCTTCATACATAAAGACCCCAGTTCGATTCCTGGGTCAGGAAGACCCCCTGAAGAAGGGATAGGCTACCAACTCCAGTATTGTTGGGCTTTCCTGGTGGCTCAGATGGTAAAGAATCTGCCTGCAATGTGGGAGATCTGGGTTCAATCCCTGGGTTGGGAAGATTCCCTGCAGGAGGGCATGGCAACCCACTCCAGTATTCTTGCCTGCAAAATTCCCTGGACAGAGGAGCCTAGCGGGCTATAGTCCACGGGGTTGCAAAGAGTCAGACATGACTGAGTGACTAGGCACACATAGCACAGTCTCAGATTCACAGCCAGCACTTAATAATTTCAAGCCATTGTTATTCCAGGCCGTCAGTGTTAAGCCAGCTTCCTTACATGCTTGGATTCACATCTCCTGCCTTCCACAAAGTGTCACAACTGCTATGAAGGAAAAGGCTCAGGGCATCTAGAAATGACCGAACCCAAGGAGGGGGTCATGGGAACACTGCTTTGTGGCTGGTTGATCAGAAGCACAGGTGACAACCTGGGGCTTGTGACTGGCCATCTGAAGGGACAGGAGAAGCCTGATGGGACTAAGCCCTTCTCCCGTGGGATCTAATACTATCTTGAAGTGGATGGTATCAGAACTAGATAAACTGTTGGACACCCAGCTGGTGTCAGAGAATTACATGACGTGTGGGAAACCGACATGTCTGGTGTCAGAGGTAGTAAGCATGCTTGTGTACAGAAGAAACACAGGAGTGTGTTTTTCCTACACAGCTGGCCAGTGATTTGACCAGCTGTCACTCAAAATGAACGGTCAATTCCAACTTGCTCTTCTGCCAGAAAGGCCTGGGATAAATTTTGAGCTTTCTGACCTAATAATGATGTCTCTTCCTAACACTGCCCAGTTCTCTGAATTACAATGATTATCCCCTGAGACCTCCTCATACCAACACCTGTTGCAGACCTTTCTCTAAGATGACACTGCAAAGAATCCTTGTCACCAGTTCTCCTCCTGCAGCCATGGCAAGCATCACTCATAGATCACAGAGTTCTTTTCTCCTGAGCCTCGGCTACCCCTACAGAACATGCCCCAGAAGCCACGAAGAGTGAGACCTGTGAGAGCCACCCTTCCATATGAAAAGCAGGATCCAGGGCATGTCGGTGTGCTTTTTTCCTTTCTCAGGAGGAATTTAGATGAAAACTGCATCTTTGCAGTTCAAAGGCCACCTTTGAACAATAAGACTTAGGAAGTGCACTTGGAGAGTAGAGACGTGACAGGAGGGTGATGACAATAAAGAATGATGCGCAGCTTCAAGCAATGATGAGAGGTGGGTCATGGATCTACCAGTTCAGGTTCTGTTCATTTGATGACCTGACATCAGCTCTGCTCAAGTCCAACCTTTCTTTCTCCAGGAGGCGCACTAGAACCCCTGCATGATCAGTGTGATGGGGGCTGCCACCTGTGCCTACCTTGGACTTGACGGCCAGGATGATCTTGGGCAGGGCCACGACGAGGCACTTGAGAGCAATGGTGATGTACTTGAGCACAAAGTCTGCGATGCCCACAATCCATAGCAGGTCGAAGAAGTCCAGCGTCTCCAGGTTGGGCTTCAGGAATATGAGGCTAGGGGAGGAGTCAGAGTGTCAGAGTGCTCATTTAGGAACGCTGGCCCTTGGCAGCTCCTTCTACTCACTCTAGGAACCTTGTAAATATTACCTGTAGAAAGAGCACTAAACTACGAGTCAGACCTCTGTGCTCTGTTCCTGAATATGCTACTAACTTGCTGTGTGACCTCGGGTAGCTATTTTAACCTCTCGGAGCCTCAGTTCCCCTGAGAGTAAATGATGAGCTTGGCCTGGAACATCATAAGTTAAAATCCCCTCCAGTTTTATGGGTCCACAACAGGCTTCACAAGAGAAACCGGAAGGAAGGGAGGGAGGAGAAAAAGCTGACCAACACTATGAAGGAGGGAAAGAGAGAAGCAGGGGGAAGGTTTTGATGTGTGACAGTGTGCTAAGCCCTTTACTCACTGTATCTTATTGTTCTCTGCAGTAGGCATTGCTTACCCTCACTTTATAAATGAGGCACTAAAGCTTGGAGAGGTAAGGTAAGTTGCCCAAAGTCATACTGCATGCTAAGCATATGGTCATGAGTATCAGACAGACTTGAATTTGAATCCAGGCTTCTCCATTTTTTGAACTAGGCAAATCATGTTCTTTCTATAAGACTCAGTGTTCTCATCAATAAAATGGGAATCGTTCTGTCCCTCCTAGGGTTATTGGTGGGATTTGATGAGATAATAGACATACTACAGACTCTGCCAAGCAGTACTGATAATGATAACCACATCTCTACGAGGCAGGCACTGTTACCTACCCATTTTGCAGACGAGAAAACGGAGGCACAGAAAGGTAAAGGAACATGCACATAGTCCTACAAATACGAAGGAACAGTGGTAGATTTGAACCCAGGCGTGCTAGCTACAATCACTGCCCTCAGTCCTTACTCTACAGTAGGGCTGCTTGGAGTGTGTAATCCCTCTTACCCATCCGTGACCAGGTAAGGCAACCTCACACTCAACTTCTGTACTTCACTCACGGGAGACAGACAAAAAGTCATGGCCCACACGTGGAGCAGCACTGCTGTCTGTCACCTCTGCAGATGACGATATTATTCATGTTAACAATATCTTGGTTCTTTACATCACTCTGGCCCTACTCCACCTGCTATTTGTGTCTCAAGTCATTTCATCTTCCCAAAGGCTCTAACTGGTAGGCACTATGATTATCGCATTTTGAGCTGGGGAGTCTGGAGTTCTATGACATCATGGAGCCCACAGTATCTCAGCTAGAATGTGGAGCTAGGATTGGAACCAGCACCCAAACTGTGCTGGGCCCCTTGCTTTTCTTTCTGCCAGATTAAATGCTCCAAGCAAAGGCCACTCCGAGTCTCGCCTATCCCCCCAAAAGCAGGGGACAGTGCACACAGCCCAGACTGAGTGCTTTCTAAACTCTTCCCACATACTCTGCTGGGCTGGCAGACAACAGTGCAAACTGAGGTCCCCTGATGAGAGCATTCTAGGAGTCAAATGGTCTGTTTTTTTACTTTTATTTTTAAAAATCAATTTCTATTTATAATAAAGATCTTTGAAGAGCTAGACTATGGGCTAAATCAATGAAAACAATCTATTTTGGCAATCTCTCATGACACCATCAGTGTCCTTCCACATCTGAGCCCCATCTCCATGGGATGCCTCGTCTCCAAGTCTGAGAGGCACCCAGTTTACAATATGGGGAGAGGCGGGCGGCCCTGAGCTCCTCTCTTCATCTCTGCTCTTATCCCTGCCTGGGCATATCCCAGGCTGGCGGGCTGACTTTCACGCCCTGCTTCTCTATTATGCATGCATCTCTGATTGCAAAAAAATGAAGACATGCCATCCACTTTCCATTTTATCCCAGAGACACCGATCTGTTACATTCACCTACCTGGGTTTTACTTCATCATCTTCGTGTTTTTCTGTTGGCTTTGACGCCGGAAAGATGCCAAAGTGTTTTTCCACAGATTGATCACTACATCCACTTATTTCTAACATACACTATGAACTTTTATGGACGGATACATTTTATTGTTAGTTTTCCACCCCATTAGGCACCACCACCAAAAGGTATGGTAATTCATCATAAAACAATAATATTATGACATGATTAGGACATATCAAATGTTGTACAGTTTGCCCAGTAGTTTCTTCATATTGTAATACTTGGCCTCTCTAATCATTAGCCTGTTCAGGTGGGTAAAGCAACAATTAACTTGCTCCCAGTTTCACAAACACAGAAACTAGGGGAGGTTCAAAAAGGTTCCACTATTTTCCAAAGGGCACAAGCTAGTATGTGGCAGGACTATGACCTTCTGACACTGGTCATCAGACTTCAAATCCTGGGATGATTCAAACTTGCTTTCACCTACCAGGACTAAGGTTCATTAAAAAGGGCTTCATTAAGCCTCAGTTTCCTTACCTGTAAAATGGCAAGAGCAATACCCTGCTCACTTGGAAAGCAAAGTAAGATAATGGCTGTTGGTATCACTTACAAACACACTCTAGACCACTGACATCAAAAAAGGAAGGCACTCTATTGCTTTTCACCAAGCCACTCTCTTTTCATGTGCTGCCAGTTTGACTCAGCCCTGGTCTGATGAGGGCACAGAGGTCTGAGCCTGCGAATGTGATCATGCCCAGAAAATGGCACGAGCTGGAAATTCATCCAAGGTTCTGGGAAACTCCATCTCCTTTACCCTCCACCAGGACCTTGATCTTCTGGGCCGGGCAACTAATGCAATGTGTGAGAGGCATGTTGATGCCTTGGAACGAATTCCCCAAATTGCTTTTATGCATCTTTGGGTGGCCCCAGAAAGTGGTGAAACTGCTTACTCCTCAAAGTCCATTTTCAAAACAGATGGACATAATCTGAAAGCTTGGCTTGAGTTTCAACCCTGTATTAGAGACTGTCACTGGCTAGTCCTTTCCCCTCATGCACTAGGTGGTCAGTAGAAAATGCAAAATTATACATGTGGCTTGCATTCTATTTCTGCTCAAGAATTCTGCTCTAGGCATGTGTGCACTTAACAACAGGGTGGGATCTGAAGGTTACAGTGTGACTGAGGGCTGCTATATCATTCTCCAATGAAGAGGCTGTGGGTCCCAAGTACAACAAAGCTCCCCACTTTCCCACTGAGGGTCAGACTCCTCTGCTCACCTGTTATACAGCTGCTGGGAACTGAATGTGTAGAGCACATAAAGCGTGTTCCCCGCTAGAAAGGCCAAGATCCACAAGATGACCAGCACCGACCTCTTCTCCTGGAGACAAAGCGAGAGATCTGTGGGGATGCTAAAATGTCAAAGGTACACCTGGCAGAATATTCCAGAATGCTCCCCAACAAGGGGCAAATGTTCCCTTTCTCAAAGGTTTGGAGGAAACATGGCTAATGGTGAAAGGAAGGGTGTTGGCATCTTTCCATCCCACTAGAACCCAAGCAATGGTTACAGTGAAGGTAACAGAAATGTGTGAACCTGCTTGGAGAACTATCCAGAGTCAGGAGGGCACCATGGTTAGCAAAACTGATTCTGGAGCTGGAGGATGTATGTTCAAATCCTTGATCTGCTACTTGGGGGCTGTTCAACCCTGGGCAATTACTTAAACTCGCTGCATTTCCTCTTTCCTCATCTGCAAAAAGGGTGCATATTATATCTTAACTTATAAAGTCATGAGAGCTCATGTACATGAACCGTTTAGAACAGTGACTGGCATATAGGAAATGCTAGTTTACATTTACTGGTAGAAACTGAGGCACGGAGAATTTAAGCAACTCTTGCTCAAGGGCGCATGTTTTAATAACATTTTTTTTTTTTTTTTGACCACACTGTGAGGCAAGTGGAGTCTCAGCTCCCTGGCCGGGGATTGAACTCGTGCCCCCCGAAGTGAAAACGTGGAGTCCTAACCGCTGCTCCGCCAAGGAAGTCCTTTGCTGCTGCTGCTGAGTCACGTCAGCCGTGCCCGACTCTTCGCGACCCCACGGACCGCAGCCCGCCAGGCTCCTCCGTCCATGGGGTTTTCCAGGCGAGAGGACTGGAGTGGGGGCCAGTGCCTTCTCCAATGCATGAAAGTGAAGTCACGTCAGCCGTGCCCGACTCTTCGCGACCCCACGGACCGCAGCCCGCCAGGCTCCTCCGTCCATGGGGTTTTCCAGGCGAGAGGACTGGAGTGGGGGCCAGTGCCTTCTCCAATGCATGAAAGTGAAGTCACTCAGTTGTGCCCGACTCTTCGCGACCCCACGGACCGCAGCCCGCCAGGCTCCTCCGTCCATGGGGTTTTCCAGGCGAGAGGACTGGAGTGGGGGCCAGTGCCTTCTCCGAAGGAAGTCCTTTAGTGGTACATATTTTAAGGTCCAGTGCCCTTATTCAAAAGTGAGGTTTTGTTAAGGTTTAAGTAAACTTGATGAATGTAAACATTTAGTCGGGCACAGGAACGTGTTGCAGGGTCACTGAGTGGCAGGACCTGTTATTCCTACTTCACAACCCACCACTCGATTCAGACCAACAAGTCAGAAACTGCTGTTCTAACATTTTTGTATGCACCTTTCCGGACTGACCATTCAGCACAGGGGCACGTTTGCAGGACTACAGTTAGCTTCATACACATTGACGTCAAAGCCCTCTGCGATCCAGCCCGGTTTCTCTTTCTTCAGACTTGTTTCTGACTAGTTCCCAGGAAGACAAGCTGGGAAACCTTTTCAGTTTGCTTTCTCAGTAGTCTCTCGGCCTGAGAGCAAACCCAGGAAATTTCTAGAGGAAGCATACAGCAGGGTGTTCCTGCCTGTGTACCCTGGGATACACAATCAGACCCCGTGCTGTTGATTCTCAAAAGCTTGTCTCTTCCTGGACCGGGGCGGCTGCATTGCTGGAATAAGATGAGGTCATAACTTTCCCAGTGTAACCTTCCCTGTGGTTTCGGTAAATGCTCCAGTCTCCAGACACAGCTCAGTACTTCACACACTGTTACAACACACATTTCCATAGAGCAGACAAAATAAATGCATCTCCATCCACCCATTATTCCAGGAGTGGTCAAGGTTAACGGCCCGAGAAACCACCTCCAACCAACCAACTGCTCTTATCAATGTGATTAATCCACTCAGCAGACCTTTTTATGCCAATAAATAATAGATTCCAGTTTCATCCCCTGTAAATCCGAACCAAAAGTAGAAGACAGAGGGAATGAGCAATGCCCTGAGAAGCCAGACTCTGGAGGACAAGTGGGGTAGTTCTCCAGGAGTAAGCTGAGATTCCTAAACTAAGAGTCATATAGACCTACTGCCACTGAAATATGCACACATAGGCAAAACGTCACCTGAGTCTTCAAAGGGTGCAAAGACCCCTAGAAGCCTGTTCATGGATACAGGCATTCCCTCGTCCTTAAAATTCAAGTCAAGGCACCATGAGGATGTTACTGCATCTGAGAAAGAGACAGCCCCAACAGCCCCACTATGACACTGAACAACCTGCTGTTTTTCTAGGTGATTTTTTAAAAAAAATTTTTATTTATTTGGCTGCATGGGGTCTCAGTTGAGGCATGTAGGAACTTGGTTGAATCACGTGGGATCATTTGTTGCGGAGCACAGATACCCTGGTTGTGGCCATGTGCAGGTTCAGTTGTTGTGGCATATGGGCCCAGCTGCTCCATAGCATGTGGATCTTAGTTTCCTGAGCAGGGATTGAACCTGTGTCCCCTGCATTGCAAGGCAGATTCTCATCTGCTGGACCACCAGGGAAGTCCCAACTTGTTGTTCTAATAGCACCAGAAAGGGGTTTGCATGAAGAAGATGAGACTGAGGGTCAAGAAGAGCCTCTGGCTCCATGCCCTACTCCTGACTTCAACGTGCTCATTTGTTTAAAATAACGACTGAGCTGGCATTTTCATCTCATGGAGGCATAGGTGCTTCCAAGAAAGCATATGACCCCAAAGCAGGGTCAGAGAGGATCATGGCTATGATAGGAGCCCATATGCTGCAGAATACACAGTCTTGTTAAAAAAAAAAAATAGCTCAGTTAAGTTGCTCCTATGAGCCAGGTGCTGCACAAACCACGGTTCCACACACCAGCTTGTTTAATCCTCTCAGTGGGTGAATGAAGTGGATGTGGTAATTCCTTGCCCAGAGGTGGCACCTGAGGATGAGCTCAGTGAGGTCACCCCTCCAAGGGCTTGCAGGAGGGTGTAGAGGCTGGGATTTGAACCTGGGGGAGCACAGGTTCTGGGCACATTGCCTGGATTCATATTCTGACACCACGCTTTGCACTGGCTGTATGGCCTTAGGCAGAAACCTTACATCTTAGCCAAGAAAATTCTGGGCCACTGTTTCCTCATTGGAAAAATAAGTTGAGTGTGATTCTGCCTGCCTCCCAAGTTGCTGGGATAGATCTCCAAGATGAGCTGTGAAATGGGTCCAGCACAGTGCTGGACACATTGAGTGCTCAGCAGGTATCAGAAGGCACTGGGGATGATGGTGGTGAAACCCACACAGCCACCCAGAAGTGCCCTAACTGTGCCTTAACTTAACCCAGAAGTGCCTGGGGTGGCCTTAACCATGAGGGTGGGCTGGAAATGAGTTAACTGAATGTCAGGAGGGTAAGGGGACTGGGTTAGGGGCATGAGAGGAGAGGCTGCTCTTAGAAGGGAGAGGGGTGGCACATCTGGGGAGCTGCCAGGGTAGGAGCAGAAGAATGACTCCCAAAGGTGTACCTGTCCTAATTCCCGCAGCCTGTGAATCTGTTCAGTTCCATGTTGATAAAGGTTGCAGGTGGAATTAAGATTGCTAATCAGATGACCCTGTGTTGGGGAGAGTTTCCTGGATTATCCAGGGGGTTGGTCCAAAAAAAAGTAGAAGAGGGAGACAGAAGAGCAGAGTCAGAAGGGGGATGTGTCTATGAAAGGATGTTCACAGAGATGCAATGTGGCTGCCTCAAAGGAGACGGGGCCAGGAGCCAACGAATGTGAGTGACCTCTAGGACCTGGAAAAGGCGAGGAAAGAGACTGTCCTCTGAACCCTCCAGAAGGAAGACAGGCCTGGTGGACACATTGATCTTAGGTTAGAGGGACCCACTTCAGACTTCTGACCTATAGAACCACGAGGAACCCATTTGTGCATTTTTAAGCCACTGAGTTTGTGGTCATTTGTTACAGCAGCGCTGGGAGGTTGATTTGCCAGGTGACTCACCTTTAGAGAGACCTGTTCCCGGAGCGTGGAATTGGCATAGGCGAAGGTGCTGGCCATTCCGATGCACACGGCAATGCCTGCGGGGCAGAGGAGGGGCCAAGACCACCCACTTAGATGCATCAGGCTTGGCCTGGCTTACTAGGGACACGGAACTCACACCTGCTCCCCTCAGAGTCAACACACTAACCACAGAGGAGAGTGAAAATCCCATCTCTGGGGCATTTGGGCTGCCATGGATATTGCTGGGAACCTCGAGGCCCCTGACTTAGGGATGGGATTGTGGCCACTGGGGAGAGGGTATTTTATAGGACCAGTTAGTATGGGCTGTGCAGTCTGGTAAGATCTGGGTTCAAATCTCAGTTCTGCCACCTCCTCTCTGTGTGAGCTTGGACTAGTCACTGCACCTCTCTGAGCCCAGTTTCCTCATCTGTAAAAACAGAATAATAACAGAACTGAACTCAAGGAGGGATACTGCTTACAGTGCACAATCTCTAGCAGTTTGTGGTTGTCGTTCAGTCACAAGGTTGTGTCTCACTCTTCGCAACCCCATGGACTGCAGCACGCCAGGCTTCCCCATTCTTTACTAACTCTGGGAGTTTGCTCAGATTCATTTCCATTGAGTCAGTGATGCTATCTAACCACCTCATCTTCAGCTAGCCCCTTCTTTTGCCTTCAATCTTTCCTAGCATCAGGGTCTTTTCCAATGAGCTGGCTCTTTGCATCAGGTAGCCAAAGTATTTCTATTTTCAAAAAGAATCTGAGGCATGTTATTTGTAATAAAAGCATATGTAGCAAAAGACCACAGCACCATAAGAAATGGAAGTTTTATGTTAAAAGGGAAAAGAGTTCCTAGCTGACAGGAAAACATGACCTTTGGAGAGGAGGGGGAAAGAACAGAGTTTTATTCCACAATTTGCTAAGCTACAATCAGAATTCTCCCTGAAAAGGGATTTTCAAATCCTACTTTTTGTTCCTGTGGACAGGATTCTGCTTTTACACAATGTACACAATTTCCCATGCTTGCAGTTCACTTTTACTTTTTAAATAGTGCATGTATTTCACGCATGCTTCCAGATCTACTTTATAAAAGATGAGTTGCTTTACTGAAAACATGTAAAATCAAAATCAGTAACCCCACAATCCCTTCTTATACTCTCTGATCAACTGAACAAACCTGACAGCTGAGAAAGAATATGACCAAACTTGGGAATAAAACTTGGTGGTGAGTTTGCTGGAATTCAGGGTAAGAAGAAACAGGCCAGCTTCTATCTCTAGGAATAAAATGGAAGGTGGAGAAGGGCATGGCAACTCACTCCAGTATTCTTGCCTGGAGAATCCCATGGACAGAGGAGTTGGTGGGCTATACAGTCCATGGGGCTGCAAAAAGTCAGACGTGACTGAGTGACTAGCACTCTCACTTCCTTTCATGAAAAGGTATAGGTGTATAGTATACTCTTTACCTACATTAGGAGAAAGAGGGGGTGGAGAAAGCAGGGGCATGCAAGGGTTGAGGCTCAGTAGCTTGCAAAGTTTAGAAGCAAGGGGCAGAACTTCCGCTTGAGGCTTTGTCTACAGCACCTGGGGAAAGGGTTCAGGCACCCAAGAAGGGGACCGGCCCCACTGCCACAGTAGCCCTAGTCCAGCTGGCGCTAGACTTGGAAGGAGGTACTGAAGGGCCCAGAACCCAGTGCATACACAGATTATAAAAAACAAAAAAAGTCACCATTTTTTAATTGGTCAAAAAGAAAAAAAAAAAAGAAGGGACTGATATGGTAGCATCCCAAAAAGGAAGGAGTGATCTGGGTCAGCTGGAACATACCAGAAAGGGGCAAATAAGACACAAATGATGGCTTAACCTCTTCTAGATATTTCTTGTGGGATGTACCAGGCTATGAGATAATTTGTACTGCAATTTCTACCATAGCCTAAAACAATAGCCTAAAACTCTCCAGGGCACAGCAACATCATGATCTAATACCAGTAACAGAAATTAATAACAGTGGACCAGAGACCACGTTTATTGAATGTTAAGTACTATGCTAAGTACTTCATGAATCATTATTTTACTTCCTAGTAATAATAGGCTGTATTTACTGAGCACTTGCTATGTGCAGGATTCCACGTTAAATATTTTACAGGTGCTAACAATGAATATAATAAAGATAATCATCTACAGTTGCACAGCACTTATTCTCTGCCAGGCACTGACCTAAGGGCTTAACATGTGTTTACTCATTTAACCTTACTCATCTTATGAAGGCAGAAGCTGCACATATAATAGTATCTGCAACATACCATTACAGTATATGTGTATCTATGATACCTATATAATAGCATATGAAAGAGTACAGCTGTCCCCAGCCTTTCTGGTACCAGGGACTGACTTCATGGAAGATAATTTTTCAACAGGTCAGGGATGGGGGAATCGTTTCAGGGTGATTCAAGCAGATCACATTTATTACGCACTTTACTTCTAATCTAATGCTGAGCTGACAGGAGGTACTGTTCCACGGCCTGGAGGTTGGGGACCCCTGAATAGTACAAATACTATTTTAAACTCCCACTTTATGGATGATGGGACTAAAGCACAGAGAGGAGGTTAAATAACGTCCCCAGCATCACACAGTTAGGAAGGGGCAGAACTCAGGTTCAGACCGGAGCAGTCTGAACTCCTTGATGCCTTCAAGTCACCCAACCAGCTGAGGAAGTTTCTATCACAACTCTCGCTGGACAGATGAGGAAACCGAGGCTCAGAGAAGGTGAGTGCCTTGCCCCAAGTCACACAGCTAGTCAAACAGGATTTGAACCCAGGTCTGAAGCGGCATCCTGGCCTTTTAAGGACTTTGCACCATAAGGACCTCTACTACCTGCCCTTGGCACTTGGGATGGAGACCTCCAACCCCTTGGGTGAAGTAGCAGGCTTTGAGCACTGCATCCCCATACCCCCCACCTCCCCCCACCCTCCCACCCCCCCAACACACACACACTCACCGAGCTTATGCTGGAAGCACAATTTGGCCAGGAGAATGAGGATGAAGGGCAGCCCTTTCTGGAGCCAGCAGATCACGGCCTTCAGCTCGGACAAGGCCGGGGCGGGTGTCCCGGGCTGCTCATCACCCCCCTCATCCGAGTGTGAGCGGTGGTCCCCGCCCACGTGCTGCAGCAGGGAGCCCCCGCGGTGGCTGCCGTGGTGGAAGTGGTGGTGGGGCTGGCGATGGTGGTGGTAGGCACCCCCCTCGACGCGGCCCCCGCCTTCCTCCCTGGACGCCGGCATCTGCAGGAACACGTCCCCACCGCCGGCCGCGGCCCCCAGGACCAGGCTGGATGGGAACGGGGTGGTGGGGAGGCCGCCTGCCGGGAGGCCGGATAAGCCTGAGAAGAGTGCTGGTGGGGAGGCCGCTTCTGCCTTCAGACTCTCAAAGACGCCGCCTTCGTCCACACTCGCCTCGGAGCTGAGCGCTTGGCTGCGATTTCTGGACCAGAAAGGAGGAGGAAGTCCCACCAAGTCAGGCAGTGGAGGATGGGGGGCAAATGACAGTATCAATAATGTTATGGGCTAAATTGTGCCCCCTCCCCTGGGAAAATCCTACATTGACACCCTAACCCTCAGTACCTCAGCATGCGGCTGTTTTTGAAGAAGGGTTTTTGCAGAGGTGATTAAATTAAAAGGAGATTATTAGGGCCAGCCCTTGTCCAGGTTCACTGGTGGCTCAGATGGGAAAGAATCTGCCTGCAATGCAGGACACTGGGGTTTGATCCCTGGGTGGGGAAGATCCCCCTGGAGAAGGGCGTGGCAACCCACTCCACCACTTTTGCCTAGGCAATCCCATAGACAGAGGAGCCTGGCGGTCTATAGTCCATGGGGTTGCAAAGAGTTGGACATGACTGAGTGACCGACAGTTTAATCCAATATGACTTTTGTCCTTACAAGAGGAAATCTGGACACAGACACAAGAGAGGGTGGATGATATGATGACACAGGGAGGAGGTGGCCATCTGCAAGCCACCAAGGAAGGCCTCAGAAGAAACCAACCCTAATGACACCCTGACCTTGGACTTCCAGCCTCCAGAACTGTGAGAAAATAAATTTCTGTCGTTTAAGCCACCTAGTCTACAACACCTTGTCATGGCCAGCCCTCACAAATTAATACAAGTAATAATAGCAATAGGGTTATAATCTTCATTGAAAATTTACTATGTGCCAGATACATTTTCCAAGTGCTTTTCATTAAATTAATTCATTAAGTCTTCCTATCAACCCCTGTGAACTAGGTACTAATAATACCCCCATCTTACAGATCAGGAAACTGAGGCACAGAAAAAAGTAACTTGTCTAAAGTCACACAGCTGGTAAGGGGTGGAACAGGGGAGATTCAAACCCAGAAGGCTACCTCTGGAGTCTGCTTTCTTGACCACTTTACTTCACTGAAAAGGAAGTGCAGGGTCCTACGATTTGAGAATAACCTCAGGAACTCAGGTTCCCCTGGCTCTGTCATCTCCAAGTTCAATGATTCCCAGTTCCCAAGAGGATCCACCTTGGTTACAGCTGATATTTGGAGGGCAGCAGAGAGTAATGGGAAGAAGATTTAATTGGAGAAACCCACATGTGAACACTAGCTCCACCCTTCCTAGGGATCTTAACAAGCCTACACTCAGTTTTCTCACCTAGAAAATGGGTATAAATAATGTTCATGCATAGATTTCCTGGGGATCAAATTTAGAATGCCCCTTTCAATATATCTGACACTAAGTAAATGGGAACCCTTATCTCTATCCCCATGCAAAACCTCCAGGGCCAACTGCCATTTCTAGTTCCAAGCACAGCCTCTTATACTGGAATCAGATAAAGGATGATGATGCTCTTTCAGAGACACTTCCAGAGCAGCAGAGAGCCTAGAGTTACTCTTCCAAGGATAGAGAGCCTTGAACTGGGTGCCCTTTCCCATAAACACCAGGCCCCAGAGCCCTGGATGTCCTGTCTTCTCTTGGGCTTGTCCTTTTTAAATGGAATCAGTCTACAGAACAGGTGGAGCTGATTAGTTTCATGTGCTGCATCAGTGGGAGGGGCAAAGAGCCACCCTTTCCTCCTCCTCTCACCCCAGAAGAGGGCCCCCAAGGCACCTCCACAAGCCCCTTCAGTATACCAAAAACATCCCGAGTTTACTCCAAGTGAGAGCTGAGTTCCACTCATCCTCTGGACTCCACAACCCAGGGCATACAGTAGGTGCTTAATAAATGCATGGCAGCTATCATCCAAGCACAAAATGGCCCCTAAGGGAGGCTCCAGGGAAGGTTTTACACTGCCTTCACACTTGACCTTATATAAACTACCCCCCACTCAGAGAACAGAGTGAATAAAAAGAAAAAAAACCCAACATATATTCAATTATTTCACTATCCCACTAAAAGGGTTTCCCATTCTAAACGCCTTCCTGCAGTCTCAGATAAATCCCATAGATAGGGACTAATATCATTCCCATTTTATAGATAAAGAAACCTTATGTGTCTCTTAGCACAGCGGACAGCCTGGATTATCCCTGGCCCTGAACTCCAATCTCTCACGACCCAAGGGCTTCCTACTGGAGGGCCTTTGCCAGGTCCAGCCCCTTCACTGGCTGGCCCCCACCCCCGCCTGGTCCCACCAGGTAACCTGCTGATCCATCAGATTTCAGCTAAACATCTCTCTTGCTTGGTGGAGCTTTGCCCACCTTCCAGACAATGTCAGACCCCTTGCTTTCTGTCCTCACTGTACCCTAACCTCCTCTGTATGGGACTGATCATGGTTATTTTACTCCTTACCTGGGACTCTCAGCCCTGTGTGCACATTATGATCATTCAGGGAGTTTTTGAAAAATACAGGCCTTGGACCTAGTGTTGACCAACTGAATCAAAAATCTTTGGGGTTGGACAGTATACCACAAGTTAGAACACAGTACACTGATTTGTTTACATGGCCTGTTCTCCTACTAGACTGTAAGCTCCTTGAGGCCACACACTGTATCTGATTCACTTCTTTATTCTCAGTGCCCAGCCAGCGGCCTAGACGACAGCAGGTGCCTAGGACATTAGAAGATGAAACAGCTAGATAAAGCCCAATAAATGAAAAAGAAACACTTAGAAGTATACAAATTCATTAAAGTTATATTAATTCTAACTTGAAAAAAAAAAATCTCTGAGATTGGGCCGCAGTACCTCTATTCCCTCAGAGCCCCCAGGTGATTATAACATGTACTCAGCACTGAGAATGGTACTTCAGACTGGGCCCTGCTCCACAAGGTCAAAGACCATGACTGTCTGCCCTCCACTGGATTGCCATGACCCAGCACAATGAACCTGGCACATAGAATATGCTCAATAAATATTACTTGAAAGAATGAATGAATAAGTACACTAAAGGCTTTGAAAGGCTCTGAGAAGGCCTGCAATTGAAAAAATTTGTTTACACTTTGTTTAACAAATTTGAAAAACTTTGTTTAAACCTAATGTTTCCCAAACTTATTTGATTACGGGATTATTTTCCTCCACAGAAAACCTACTCACATCTTGAAGAACATCTGTGAAACCTGGCAGGGGAGATACTGATCTGCAGAAATCTTGGGGCTGGGCTCACCGGCCTTACAAACTTGACCTGGGCATAAGTTATTATAAACCACCAACTTTATGCCCAGGCAAGGGAGGGAACTTGAAGATGGCTACCTATTCCCCCACCTCCCATGGCCCATCCCTGGTGGCTTCAAAAGCCCAGGAAATGTGTGGTACTAGTTTCCTGAGCTTGGGATGATGATAAAGATAATAATAATAATAACAATAACTAACACCATGGCTATGATCCTCAAGGGGCCTTCAGCTTTTTCTGCACTTTAAGAAGCTGAACTGAGAAAGCAGGAGTCCTGGCAGGTGCCCACAGCGGCCACCCTCTCCCCCGCCATCCCAGGGGCCCTGGAAAACCTCTTGCCTGCCTTGAGCTTGCCAGCACTCTAAGCTCACTGGGCTCAGGGGACCTCTAGTGCAACCAGGGAAGGCTCAACCCACCAAGGGCCTTTTTATAGCTGGCCTCCCTTCCCTGGGCCTTTCTCCAGCATGCAGTTGAGATTTCAGCCTAAACGAGAAAGAATAATCCTTGGGGGGAGCAGAGGCTGAGCTTCCAACTTAACCACTTAAAGGCCAGAATGTGAAGCAACCTGGAAGGATAGTGAACCCACCAAAATAGGAGACAGCTGAAATGTAGAGTCTCAAAGCATATACTTTGCAGAGGTCAAATTGACTGGGGCCTGAATCTCAGCCCTGCCTTCTTGTCTGTGTGACTTCGGGTATCTTACTTACCTTCTCTGAGCCCCAGTTTCCTCATTTATAAAATGGTGATAAAACAGTCCTGACTTCCACAGGCTAATATGAGGGTGACATAAGAAAGTACATGGGTCATAGTGGCCATTACTTTTCCAGTGTCATCTCTTCCCCCAAAGATCTCACCATTCATTTGAAAGCAGACAGCAGTTCTGTCTTTGGAGGCTGGAAAAAGCTCCAACGGCGCAGCTCATCAAACATCCCTGGTGCTGTGTTTATGTATTTTCACTCATTCACAAGCAACCCTGAGTTTTATTATCTGCCATTTATAGATGGGGACACTAGAGGTGAAGGTGCTTGCCAAAGGCACTGAAGTGGGAAGTGACTGATGTGGGATTCTGTCGAAGGGTTATCTGACTAAAGGAGTTTTTCCTTAGAGAACAGGGAGGCCTCATGCAAAACTCAACACTGGCACTGGTGAATACTTTGTGATTTTGCTGTGAACCTCAGAGTCACACGGGACTTGAAATAGGAAAAGCTTGGTTGCCAGCTCCTTGGGTGTATGTTCCAGCATGGTGAGAGGGCTGGGGCCGGGAGACTGTCACAACCTAAGAACAGGGCCCCACGGTCTGTACGCTTTTTGGCTTAAGTAGGTAGAAATCCTAGTTCATTAGTGTTTTAACTGTTATTTTCTTAGGTTCTGTATTTGTCTATTTGGCATCTACTCATTTTGGGGCTTCCCTGGTAGCTCAGACGGTAAAGAATCTGCATGCAATGCAGGAGACCTGGGTTTGATCTCTGGGTCAGGAAGATCCCCTTGGAGAAGGAAATAGCAACCCACTCCAGTATTCTTGCCTGGAGAACTCTACACATAGAGAAACCTGGCAGGCTACAGTCACTGGGGTCGCAAAGAGTCAGACACGACTGAGTGACTAACACTTTCACACACACATTACAGGGTCAAACTAATGGCCAAACTTGTTTACAGCTTCCCTGTGACCCAGAGCCTATATCCCCAACCATCTCCTTTATCTAATTCACATTCTCAGCCAATATTTCCTCTGCTTCAAATCACCCAGGGCCAGGTACCAGACAGCTAGAGACCACTCCTATAGCCTAGAGGCCACCAACATTATTCAAACTAGTCAACGCTAAGCTGTTTCCTTTGCCCTGCTTTACTTTTTGTGGAAAACACAATAAAAGCTGTGACCTATGCTTTCCCTTTGCTCCTTTCTGTCTCCTGGCTGACGCTGGTACTTCCCCATGTGGCCCTGTGTAGGATGGGATGCCCTCTTCTCTTGGGAAGTGTAAGCAATAAAAATCTTCTTTCAAGGTCATCAGCCTTTCCATGTTCCCACCCAGACACCTCTATAAATTAAAATCCCCTGGGTGCAATCATTGATACAGTTAGTCAAGTGGACCACTGGCTGCACGGGCTTTGAGAATTACCGTAAGAGCAACAGCAAGCTGTTGTGTGTTGAGGATATGAGGTCATCTTTGTGCAAAGCAGTTTCCGATCAGATCTCCTACGCCCTTCTGACAAGTAGCCCTGAGGAGCAGGTAATATTCAATCCAGTTTTGGGTTGTCCCGACCACCTGAAGCTTAGAGCCTCGGATGGAATGACAGTGATGCCTACCTTTCAGGTGGAACGTTTTCTGTGTTGCTGCTGTGGCGTCTCTGCATTTTCCTTAAGACCTAAAAGTCAACACAGGCATGAACTAGAGTCTCCCAACATTCCCAGTGCCTAGATTGCCATGGTAACCATAAATAAGTACTACTCATATCTTATATCCCTAGAGCTTTCTGACATTTCGCAAACTGGGTTTCAGTCTGTTATGTCATTCAACCCTCAAATCAACTTCTGTCCCATGAGGAAAGTGTCATTCATGGATGAGAAGGATGAGACTTGAAGGTGAAGGAAGTCTTCACATGAGAGGAGAAAGAAGTAAACTATAAAGCAAAGAGGTGCTGGAGGAGGTGCACTAGACAGACATTTGGGAAACACAGATCCTGGATCTCTGCCACCCTTAATTTGCTGTGTGACCGTGGACAAGTCAGTAACCTCTTGGTGGCCCGAGTCCCATAGGTTCAAAGAGAGAGGGGTGGAGTGTCTGAACCCAGAGCTTCCTTCCAGCCCTCACATTTGGTAAAGTGGTAATGAAGATGTGAATTCCCATGCAGACACGTCACCTGGTTCACTGTGAGGAACCACATGGACTTCAGAACTCCATGTTGACGACACCTCAGATGGGCATTCAGGGTTCCAGGTGGGGATGTGACCACTGGATTCCAGAGAAAGCAGATCTCTCCCTCTTCCTTCTCTCCAAAGGGACACACGGGTCACAGGAGCTTACCAGAGACTCCAAATCCTGGATGGCACAGAACACTTAAGTGACTAGTCCATGGAATACCTTGAACCTAAGAAGTCTTGGGGCTTCATGGGGAGCTATAAGCAGATGGTTCTGTTGCCGCCTTATCCCTTGTTAGCCTCCCATTGATCCCTCGTTGGTATTACTGAGGACAGTTATGATCTGAACATATTTTGCCATATTGTCAAACTCTGAGTCCTGACTGGGAAACACAGACATGTTTTAGGGCCTCCAAAGGTGACCCACTGTAACCAGAATAAAATCAAAGTTGTGTTCCTGGCCTGCAGGCCTCACCTGTCCCCAACCGTACCTGCCTCCATTCTCCCTTTAACCAAGCCCCTTCAATTGCACTGGTCTTTTCGTTTTTCAAAGATGCCAGCTTGTTCCTGTCTCAGGGCCTTTGTGCTTGCTGTTCCCTCCCCAGAATGCTTTTCCTTCTGGCTAGCTCCCTCAGGTCAAATGTCACCTCCTCCTAGAGGTCATCTCTTCTCACCTTCCTGACCCAAAATATCATTGCCCTGTTCAACTATCTTCATAGCATTGATCACTTATTTACATGCTTGCTTATTTATTTATGCTATGTCCCCCATTAGAATGTAAATGCCACAAAAGTAAGGATCCGTCTGCCTAGTTTGCCCTTCCACCTCCACATGTAGAACACTGCCTGGCACAGAGCTATACTAAACAAGTAAAACATCAGTGGGTCTCTCACTTTACCTCTTTCTATATATCCCTTGTTCCTTCCTGACCTCTCACTCTAGAGAAGAAATAAAAGCCAGAGACTTTACATGAATAGGTTTAGCTTCCTTAAATATTTTCTTGGCTCAGAACAAAAGATGATATCTTGCTTAGTTCAGGGCACCATAATTGGCTGTTGAGTGATTTCTTGATCCTGACCAGCCTTCTTCAGGGGACAGTACTGGTGTTACCAGGGCTGCTGATTGGAAACAATTCACCACAGAAGCCTTTTTTCTTTTTGGAAAATCAGCCAAAAACAAAACAAAACTGGTCAGTAGCACCATCTCCATATATGAAGGAAAGTTTATCCCGTAATTGTATTCATCTCACATGCTAGCAAAGTAATGCTCAAAATTCTTCAAGCTAGGCTTCAGTAGTACATGAACTGAGAATTTCCAGATGTTCAAGCTGCATTTAGAAAAGGCAGAGGAGCCAGAGATCAAATTGCCAACTGTTGGATCACAGAAAAAGCAAGAGAGTTCCAGAAAAACATCTACTTCTGCTTCATGCTAAAGCCTTTGACTGTGTGGATCACAACAAACTGGAAAATTCTTAAAGAGGTAGAAATACTAGAATACCTTACCTGCCTCCTGAGAAGTATGTATATTGGTCAAGAAGCAATAGTTAGAACCGAACATGGAACAACAGACTGGCTCCAAATTGGGAAAAGAGTATGTCAAGACTGCATACTGTCACTCTGCTTATTTAACTTACATGCAGAGTACATCATGTGAAATGGCAGGCTAGATGAAGCATAAGCTGGAATCAAGATTGCCAGGAGAAATATCAATAACCTCAGATATGCATATGACACCACCCTTAAGGTAGAAAGAGGAACTAAAGGGCCTCTTGATGAAAATGAAAAAGGAGAGTGAAAAAGCTGGCTTAAAATTCAACATTCAGAAAACTAAGATCATAGCATCCAGTCCCATCACTTCATGGCAAATAGATACAGAAACAATGAATGAACAGTGAGAGACTTTATTTTCTGGGGCTCCAAAATCACTATAGATGGTGACTGCAGCCATGAAATTCAAAGATGCTTGCTCCTTGGAAGAAAAGCTATGACAAACCTAGACAGTGTATTAAAACGCAGAGGACTTTGCTGACAAAGATCCGTCTAGTCAAAGCTATGGTTTTTCCAATAGTCATGTATGGATGTGAGAGTTGGACCATAAAGAAAGCTGAACGCTTTAGAATTGATACTTTCGAACTGTGGTGTTGGAGAAGACTCTTGGGAGTCCCTTGGACTGCAAGGAGATCAAACCAGTCCATCCTAAAGAAAATCAGTCCTGAATATTCATTAGAAGGACTGATGCTGAAGCTGAAGTGCCAATACTTTGGCCACCCTATATGAAGAACTGACTCATTGGAAAAGACCGTGATGCTTGAAAAGACTGAAGGCACGAGAAGGGGATGACAGAGGAAGAGATGGCTGGATGGCATCACTGACTCAATAGGCATGAGTTTGAGCAAGCTCCAGGAGTTGGTGATGAACAAGGAAGCCTGGCATGCTGCAGTCCATGGGGTCACAAAGAGTCTTGACACAACTGAGGGACTGAACTGAACATATCCTGTAAATTCATTTCAAGAACCTGCAATCTTGCCTTAATGCCCCCTCCCCCTACAATGATTCCTCATCACCTACAAATCCTTGGGGAAAATAAAATACAGAATCCCAAGTTTCAGGGCTTCCCTCGTGGTCCAGTGGCTAAGACTCTGTCCTCCCAATGCAGGGGGCCCAGGTTCCATCCTTGGTCAGGGAACTAGATCCCATATACTGCTGCAACTAGGAGCCTGCAAGCCACAAAGAAGACAGAAGATCCTGCATGCCGAAACTAAGACCCGGCACAGTCAAACAAATTATTGTAAAAAAAAAAAAAAAATCCCAAGTTTCTATCCACAAATTTGCCACAGCCTCCTAAATCAAATACCCAAGATTCCACTTTCAGATGCTTGCTTTCGAAGGGGCTTCAGGTTCTGTGTTGGAAGCAGGCCATACATAACTATTCCAATACCGAATTCTGGAATAAAACGATTGCATGTGGGATGCTTCTGAAATGACTGATTGAAATGCTTTTTTTACCCTCTGCTTCATACATCGCACTCCATTCCTAAGAACGATTTCACCAAGAGTTTTCAATGTATGGGAGATTTTAAGTTGCACCCCCAGGCCGTTACATGATTGCACGGACATGCACGTAAGAGAGCATCTCCTGCATCACTTGCATTGGAAGCAGGCAGGTACACTTCGAATACAATGCCGTGGGCGTTTTTCATTCCTGCAACCAACGTTTAGCGCGAAACGCTCTAGGACTGCAAGGGCAGATGACACTGACCATACTGGGGCTGGCGGGGGCGGGGGGTAATAACGTTCTCTTTTTACCTGCACAGACGATTCAGCAATCACAGCGGCATCATTCACGTCCTTCCAAGCCAATCACTCGCGAGGCCCGGAGAGCACCTGACTTCCGAGTGCTTCCGGCCTCTCCTCAGGTTTTTCTCTCAGGTTGCTAGGTCCGGCGCTAAGACCCGGGCATAGCTCCACCGGCCGCACGCACATGATTGCCCACCCCCTCCCGAGATTTAGCCAATAAGAATCCGTCTCTCTGTAGGGGACCAATGAGGAGGAGGCTGAATGAGGCCCGGCGGGTGACGCGGAGAGGTGCGGGGGCGGTGCTTGGGGCGGGGTCACGTGGGGAGGTGAGAGGTGGCTGACGGGAGCTGGCTGGGCTGAGGGCCGCGGGGCCGGCGCCCGCCGCGAGCCATGGGGCTGCCGGCCGCGTAGGGGCCATGCTGCCGGGGCCCCAAGCCTGCCCCGCTCCGCGCCGGGATGGTGAACCTGGCGGCTATGGTGTGGCGCCGGCTCTTGCGGAAGAGGTGGGTGCTCGCCCTGGTCTTCGGGCTCTCGCTGGTCTACTTCCTCACCAGCACCTTCAAGCAGGTCAGTGCTGCACCGGCTGCCCGGGTGAGGGAAGCTGCCTCTGCAGCCGCGCTGCCCGAGTGTCCGGCGCGCCGGGGCTGAGACGGGAGAAGGAACCTGCCCCTTTGGTTGGGACAGAGCTGGGACTCGAGCCCGCCATGGTGGGCCTTTAACGCTGTTCTTTTCACCCTCAGGGCTTCCTACCTGCCGGGCTCGGGGCTTCCCAGCTGCCGGGCCCAGGGCTGAGCGGGGGCTGGCGTTTCTCCCTTCCTCCTCGCGGGAAAGGTGGAGATTCCTGGGCGATAAGTAGCCAGGCTGCGAGGCCATTGCCTAGTTTATTTGATTTCGGGGCTCAGTGGTCGCCAGGGAAACACTTCAGGACTCCCGCGGTTCCCTTCCTATACAAAATAGGGTTGGGTGGAATTTCCTTTTCACTTTCCCACCCCCTGAGTTTTTTTTCTCTGTGCGAATTTCTGACAGAAAAGGCAGAGAGCTTTGTTGGGAAATGTTACCCAGAGCATGGGGCAGGGCGTTTAGAAATTTGGTGGGAGTGTTTGGGTTTTTCCAACGGATGAACCTACTTCACAGGGTACCCGGGACAACCGTGCTTTATGCTGTTGCTCTGATGGGAGTTTAAAAAATCTCCCCTTTTCATTCTCAAGGGTCAAGTTCCTAAATAGAATGTATCAGTGAATAGAAAATTACTTAAAACAAGGGAGGGAATATATGTATACTTATGGCTGATTCACGTTGTTGGATGGCAGAAACTAGCACAGTATTGTAAAGCAGTTATTTTCTGAGTTAAAAAAAACAATAAACGAGATGGTCACCCTAGTTTTAGCAGGTTGGTGGGGGAGCTGTAAAAAAGGACGTTAGAGAACTGTTTCCCATCTTTCACCTGTGTTGTAAGCTCCCTCTGGTGACTAGGTTGTGTGGGTGACATTGCTGTGAACTCAGTGCTTCTTGGACGTGTGTTTTCACAACTTCACAGACACCTTCTCGTGGTCACATGCTGTCCCCTGTCTGTCCTGCGGGTGCCATGGTGAGCAGCGACTCAGCCCCCTGCCTCCCTCCCACCTGCTGTTGCTCACTGCTAGCCCCGTTGGTTTCAATACCAACTGTATGCTGTTGGCTATCCTAATTTCTATCTCCAGCCTCGACTGATTCAGAAACCCCCAGGTTGTTCTGTCCAGTTGCCTGCTTGAGTCCCTTTTGAATGTATTGTCAGCTCCTCTTTCTTGTCCAAAACCGAACTCCTGATTCTCCAGCACTCGCACTTCCTCTCCAGTCTTCCCAGGCTCACTAGTTACTGCTCCTCAGGTAGTCCGGCCACAGATACTTTCTGCTTTACTTTATATCACTCCTCGCCTGTGAGACATTTCCTCTGCCTCCACAGCAGATCCCGAATCTGTTCTTCTCTCCCAATTGTCACCGCAGCCACCCTAGGGCAGCCTGCCTTAGTCTCTGTCTGGGCCTCTGCGGGGGCCCACCCACAGGTCTCTGCTTTCTTTCTTGTCCTATAGTCTATTCTCTACCAGCAGGAGGGGGTGATCATCTGAATAGAAAAAAAGATATAATTCTTTGGGTTCCTGTTGCATTTAGGTAAAACTCCAGGCTCACGTTCCAGGATCTCTGCATGGTAAGTCTTGTTGTTGCTGTTGTTAATTCAGGTGAGGCTCACTGTTACTGCCCCAGGCCACACCAGGTGACACGGTTTCAGAGACTTCAGTTTCTTGTCCATAGTCGTACTTTATTTTTTTGTGTGGTAGAAATAGCTTACTGAGTATTTCTGGATCATTTTTACTTGTTTATCTGTCTCCTCTCACTCTCCCTTCTAGAGCATCATTTTTTGGAGAACAGGGACTTTGTGTTGCTCATAGAATCCCAGTCTCTAGAATACTGCCGGGCACTATTGTGGTTATTCAGATATTGGTTGAACAATCAAATCTTTATAATTGGGTGGCTTCCTTTCTTCTCAGTTCGGCACACTTCTGCTGATTATTCCTTTCTTGACTCAGATGCTGTCTACTCTGTTACTTTCCCTACAATCTCCTTTTTTGAGGAGTGGATGTGGATGGGCACACCATGAGGCTTGTGGGATCTTAGTTTCCTGACCAGGGATTGAACCCAGGCCCTTGGGTGAAAATGCAAAGTCCTAACCTCTGGACTACCAGGGAATTCTCACTACAACTGCCTTTTACTCTGGTGTACCTAGTGTTGTTGTTTTTTTAACTTTTGATCCATGGCCACAATCATAGGGGTATGTTTGGGTGGGGGGGGCAGGGAATGATCGTGAGTCCTTAAAACTGTTCACAACTGTTTTCGTTTTGTAGATTTTTTTGGATCTAATTACCCCATGGCCTAAAAAACATGTTAGCCATGATCTCTCTATTTATGCCCATTAAGCCCTTGGCAACCACTAGTCAACTTTCTGTCTCCATGGATTCATTTATTCTGAACATTTCATATAAATGGATTCGTACTGTGTGTCTTCTGTGTCTGGCTTCTTTCACTTAAAGGCCTATGTTTTCAAGGCTCATCCATCTTGTAGCATGTATTAGTAGTTTACATCTGAATAATACTCTGTTGTAGACATCTGCCACATTTTGTTTGATGGAGACTTGCTTTGTTTCTGAAAAAAGTGAAAGTAGTGAAAGTGTTAGTTGCTTAGTTGCGACTCTTTGTGACCCCATGAATTGTAGCACGCCAGGATCCTCTGTCCATGGAATTCTCAGGGCAGGAATACTGACTTGTTTCTACTTTTTGACTATTTACCATGAACACTGGTATACAAGGTTTTGTTTGGAAATAGGTTTTCAGTTCTCTTGGATATGGTCTTAGGAGTGGAATTGATGGGTCTCTTGGTAACTCTGTTTAACTTTTTGAGGAACTGCCAGGCTGTTTTCCAAACTGGCCATACCATTTGCAGTGAACTTTTAATAAACTATACTTGTCAAGTTTTTGATGTACTAACAAAGGTTATCCATAATTATTTGGAAAAACCACTAAAATAGTCTATTTCCAACTACACATCTGTATGAGATAGATTTTCTTCATAAGCTTTAACCCGAACAGTGTATTGCAATAGATTGGATGCAGAGGGAGTTGTGAGAATCCAGCTGTTTTCCATTGAGCCAGGCATTAAAAACATTTGCAGAAATATAAAAACATTTTCTCATCTCACCAAATACATATTTTTGTTTTGAAAAACGTTCTTTTCCCACACGCATGTGAAAAACTGTTGATACGTAATGGGCTCATTATTGTTATTTTTAAACAAATAGCTTATTTAAAATGTTTTAAGAAGTTGTTTTAATTTATGATATGATAACTATCAATAGCCATAACCCTCACTGACCCACATATTGAAGTCCTGAATAATTTTTAAGAGTATAAAGGGTCCGTGGACTTCTGTGAGATGAACATCATCCCAATCTGACTGATGCTCTTACACACCTGTGAGTTTGCTTGCTGGTTCTGTTTTCTGCTGCTGTTTTGGTCTTCGGCACTCCTGAGATCAGTGGCTTGAGGCGAGTGGGCTCCGTTTTGCCTACCCTCAGGCTCCATCTGTAACAGAGCTGTGCTATCTACTGGACAGGAAGGCGGAGTGGGAGTGGTTAGAATTAATTGAGAGGAGACTGGAAAACTCCAAAGCTTCATATGATCCTTAGCTCTGCTTCAGTGAGACTGAACTCTTGGAGCAGATGCAGTCACTTTTTGCCTAGAGAATAGTTGATTATTCTCTACAGCTTTGAATTCCTCTTTTCTTTGGTTTTCTTCTTAATTAATGCTTTGGGGGATAGTTGAAATTGTAGGTATGGGAACACAAGAGAAATGAGTGACCTTGGTGGGGATGCCATTGGGGGAGAGGGCTGGGTGCCAGGTGACTTGGGCACACTGATTTAACAAATGTTTTAGTGAAAACCAGCTGCACTAGGCAGTGTCTGCTAGATAATGGTGATACAGTGGGGGGCAAAGCAGATGTAGTCTGACTCTCCAAGAGCCTGTATTCTGTAGGGGGTGAGGGGTAGAAATGGCAAATGAGCAGGATTATTTCACATAACAATTTGTAAAATAAAGAAAACAAAACAAGGTACTATGATAGAGCAGCAAGGTGGGCCTAACTCTTTGGGGCATTTGAGCTGAGATTAAAGAAATCCCAGTCTTGGAGTCAGAAGGGTCCTTAGAGGTCCTCTCATGTAAATATCTGTTCTCATAGTTGTTCAGGTAGTGCAGATCTGAAAGTGTCAGGGCTATTTGTATAACTACTTGAGAATACATGAACATCATAATCTTTAAAGTAATAAAGTATGTAAATTGGTTTCAAGTTAGACACTGTCTAAAGTGTAATAACTCATAAGAGAGAGTTGTTCATCTGTGTTTTTGTTCTGTTTTTCACTGATCACCAAAGTACATATACCTTTCAGAGTTTGTAAAGTGCTGCACAGGTTAGACAAGGAAAACAGTTATCTTTAATCTCAGAAACCAGAGGGATTCACTGATGATATTTGGGCGTATTTTTTTTCTTCGTTTTCATATTTTAAACGTATAATTGGGGCATACTCTTTTTTCATTTAACATGTATGCATTTTTCCCACCTTGAAAAGCTCTAAGTATCAAGTTTTTATAACTAAAATTTTCCATGATCAGGTTATATTTATTAGTCATTCCCCAAATATTGGACATTTGGGATTCCCTCTGGCCTTTATCTCCCTTTTTTTTTTTTCTTTTACTTTTGAGAATCATAAGCGAGTCTTTTAATGACAATGCCTTATGCTTAGGTGCCTTACTGCTTACATGAGACACGTATCTCATTTAACCCTTAGGCTAACTCATGAAAAATAGGACAGTTATTAATACGTGTGCTCATGTGCTCTGTCACTCAGTTGTGTCTGACTCTTTGCTACCCCATGGACTGTAGCCCTCCAGGCTCCTTTGTCCATGGAATTTTCCAGGCAAGAATATTGGAGCAGGTTGCCATTTCCTACTCCAGGGGACCTTCCCAACCCAGGGGTCAAAACTCATGTCTTTTGTGTCTCCTGCATTGGAAGGTGTATTCTTTACCTCTGCGCCACCTGGGAAGCCCCAGTTATCAATACAGCCCCTTTTAAATCAGAGATTAAGTAATATACGTTAGTAATAAAACATTTCTATATTTGCTTGTAGTTTATGAAAATTCGGGAGGCGCTTTGAAAATAGAGAACCCAGCTACCTTTGTTTCTGTATCCTTAACACATTGTAAGAACTTGATGGCTTTGGATGGATCTGAAATGAGAAAATACAAACGTATTGGGAGAGGATGTTTAAAATTGAGACAGCCTGTTAGGGTAGGTGGACCAGTTGGGGAAAGGTTTAATGCTGCCTGTTCAGTGAAGGAATCCCTTCAGTGCCCCTTCACCACATGTTTGTAAAAGTGGATCTTAGGAAAAACAACCATGTGCTAATTCATTACATTTGTCATTATGTCTTACACACTGTCTTGTACAGTCTTTTCTGGTTGTACAACTCTGACCCAGTCCTCTTGGCAAGGTCGTGAATATTCAGGTTTGAAAACAATCTCAAATGCTGGGAGCATTTCCTTCCTGTTTACCAAGATCATAGTAATGTGGAAGAGGTCCTTCTGGAATGCCCTTGTCCAAGAACGCTTGTTTTCTTTCAGGAGGAATAACAGGAAAGTTTGAGAGTAATTTGAAGAGCACTTTCAACCTTGCTATACTGTAAATCCAGTTTACTGTACTTTGACCAGCCTCTTAAGTCTTTATGGCTATTAATTTATCTAGGGTAGCGTTTGAAGTGCAGTTTAGCTTGCACATAGCTTGGTTATCTCTTTAACTGATACAGCCCCAACAGAGCAGAGGAGCATGAATTTACAGGTGGTTAAGCAGTGTGCACCTAAGTGATTTGTCCATATTCCCAAGGCTTCTGCATTTAACTCCCATTCTTCCCCCAACCAAATATACTGATGTTTTTGTATAACCCATCTTGTTCATGCTGATGCTAGTTCAAAAGAAACAAAAGAGAGGGGAAAATGAAAGTCGCTCAGTCATATCCGACTCTTTGTGACTCCATGTACTATACAGTCCATGGAATTCTCCAGGCCGGCATACTGGAGTGGGTAGCTGTTCCCTTCTCCAGGGGATCTTCCCAACCCAGGAATTGAACCTGGGTCTCCTGCATTGCAGGTGGATTCTTTACCAGCTCGGCTACCAGGGAATCCCAAAAGAGAGGGGGCAGAATAGAAATTAAAGCCACCTGGTAGGACTCTTTTACCTTTAGTAAATTAAGGAACAAAATTCAGTACTGGTGTGGCACAGTGTTATTTAAATGCTGGTAATGTTATAAGTGGCATATATAACTTTTGGAAAATTACCTAACACTGTGTGAAGAGCTGACTTATTGGAAAAGACCCTGATGGTGGGAACGATTGAAGGCAAGAGAAGAAGGGGGTGACAGAGGATGAGATGGTTGGATGGCATCACCGACACAGTGGACGTGAGGTTGAGTAGGTTCCAGGAGTTGGTGATGAACTGGAAGCCTGGTGTCCATGGGGTCACAAAGAGTCAGACACGACTGAGTGACTGAACTGAATTATAGCATTGGCTCTACTTCTAATAATAATTCCTACCACAAATGATGCAAGAGAATAAGCGAAAGGTCTCCATTGTTATTGCAGTGCTGTTTATGATAACAGAAACCTGGGGCAGGCTGAAACATTGATCTGTAGAGGATGTGTTTACTAAATTACAGCACATCAACATGATGGATTATTATATAGCCTTGAAAATGATTATCAAGATAATGTAGGTACTTGAATCATTTACCATCCAATTAGTGTCAAGAGGAGCTGAATGTGAAGCATCCTAATTTGTAGTATAAATGCTGGGGTCAAAGGCTAGAAGTTAATATGCAGAAATAGCTACAGTTTTATTTAAGTAATGGGATTGTGGGATATTTATGTTTTTCAGATTGGTAATCATGGTTTTTTAAAATAATAAACTTAATTTGGAATAATTATGGGTTTACAGAGAAGTTTCAAGGGTAGAGTTCCTGTAGATTCCTCACTAGTGTCTCCTCTTGTTAATGATAATCATGTTTTTAATAACTTTTATCATTTTATTTTAAATTCAAAATGAAACTTTTCCAAAGATGAAAGATGGTAATAATCACCCATCCTTTCCATGTTAATGGTCTGTAGTGTATCTTTCCATGCCTTTATCTCAGCTCTTACAAACCTGTATGTATACATTAATACAGTTATTATTGTAATACAACATATGGTAATATGCACATTATTTTGTAACTTGTTTTTTAGCTTAATATACTAAGGACATCCACCAGTGATCTGCAGCCCTGTTTATTAATATCATCTGAGTGCTTTGAAAAAATAATGATTCCCAGGTCCCACCCACAGAGCTTTTTACTTCGTCTGGAGTTGGACTCAGGAATCAGAATTTAAGTGTCTTATATAATCTAACATTCTAGTCATGTTTAAGGACTCCTGCTGTAGGTAAATACACATCAGTCATGTCTATTTTTTTTTTTTATAATAGCCATAGCTATCCATGTTTATTCAATCATTTCTTTGTGGTTGGGGTTCCTGGTTTTTTTTTTTTTCTATCACATAAACAGTCCTATAGTGGGCATCCTAGTACACCCTTACACATTGGTACTTTCTAGAGTCTAGGTTTCAAAAATGTGTTGCTGTGCCAAAGTATATGTGGATATGCATGTTGTAAATATTAAATAACTCTTCCCAGAAAATAACTCTTTTCTGTTGTCTTAAAGTATAACCTCTGTCATCAACTTTCAAGGTTAGTCCCTTTTGCTCAATGACACATGACAGGTCATTCTTAATGGCAAAAGCCACAGAGCTCTATTAAAATGGTAGAATGGTTAAATTATCCTCTGTCCATGGGGCTTTCTTGGCAAGAATACTGGAGTGGGTTGCTGTTCCCTTCTCCAGGGAATCTTCAGGGATTGAACTCGGGGATTGAACCCTGTGTTGCAGGCAGATTCTTCACCACTCAGCCACCAGGGACCCATATACACACACCGATATACACAACCTCTCTCAGAGGGAATCTTATCATTGTTTTGTTTTCCAACAATAGATAGGTTGAGTAATTCAGAAGATGGCTGTCTCCTGAATCAGAAGATGGCATGGTTTGTGTTTTGGCACTCGGGCACCTTACTTAGTTTGTCTTAAGAGTATAACAAGGCAATTTGGAAAGTCTAACTGACGCGGGGGCTAGGAGAAAAGGTCTAAACTCTTGCCTCTAGAGAAGTTCCTCACTTTGCATGTCTAGGTAAAGGCTGTCTGACGTGGGTGTCCTTTGTGAAGAAAGATATATTCTAAGGGTCAGATTGCTTGCTTGCTAAGTTGCTTCAGTCGTGTTCGACTCTTTACAACCCAATGGACTGTAGCCCACCAGGTTCCTCTGTTCATGGGATTCTCCAGGCAAGAACACTGGAGTGGGTTGCCGTGCACCCCTCCAGGGGATCTTCCTGACCCAGGGATCAAATCTGATGTCTGCTGCATTGGCAGGCAGGTTGTTGACCCCTGGTGCCACCTGGGAAGCCCCAAGGGTCATATACTCAGTATTTTTTCATAGAAAAAATTTGCAAGATTCCATGCTTCTTGCACCTAAAATCAAGCTCTTAATTCAGTGTTCCCATTAGTTTACCACTGTACTCCTCACTGCAAATTAAAGTAACCTTGTTACCTGTGATGTGTTCCAGTTTGTCTGAAATGAAAAGTTGGAAAGTTTCTTTGAAGTTTCCTCTTTTATTTTAAAAATGTATTCAGATTTTACATTCTACTCCACAATGTAAATGTTTACTTTGACATAAAAAATGTTTTAAATTATTTGCCATCAGAAAGTTCAAAACTCTTTCCCTTCAAATTTTTCGAAGAAATTAATGCTTTTGTACACATTTATAATGTGTACTTAATCCAGGGGCATTTATGTAAGTTTTGAAGCATAGCTCTAATTTATTACTTCTTTCTTCAGGTTTATTTTGCATTCTTTTTTAAATGACTTTGGCCCAAACTTTTCTTACACCAAGTGAGGTTTTCTGTTGTGCAAGCTTTTTTATATTGTTTTTGTCCTGTTACTGTAGTTTATATGAAAAATTGGTGAATATGCAAGAAACGATAGTTTAACCTTCTCATTTATGGTCTCTTTGTAGGAGGAGAGGGCAGTGAGAGATCGGAATCTCCTCCAGGTCCAAGACCACGATCAACCTATCCCGTGGAAAGTACAGTTTAATTTGGGCAATAGTAGTCGGCCCAGCAACCAGTGCCGGAACTCCATTCAGGGGAAACACCTCATCACAGATGAACTGGGTAAGGCTGGCTCCCTTCCTCTCCTGTAGACTGGTGCCACTTTTCCTTAATGTCCACTATCCAAACAGTGGTCAGAATTCCTCAGTTGTTTTGTGGGTTTTTTTCCTTTTTCAGCTGGTGGTTTGCAAATAATCTGGTTTGTTTTTCAAGAGTAAATTTTGCTCTCAGAGAGTCTCAGAACAAATGAATTATGAACCTAACAATACTGAGATTGATAACAGTAACCCTGAACTAGAGTCTTCATTGATACATGATGAAGCTCAACAAAATGAAGACAGGTACTGTCTTTAAAATGAGACTACAGTGCATATGTGTGTGTGTGTGTGTGTGTGTTTAAAGTTTGCAACCTCAGTAAAATAAGGAAAAAAAATTTTTTCCTAAAAGATCTCGAAAGTGTCAGAGCATAGGAGGTTATTTGGGATTAAAGGAAAGAATCAGGAAAACTAAGCAATGCTGAGCTCTGTTTTTAAGAGTACATTGAAAAAGCAGATTAAGTTGCAAATAACATTTGTTTTGTTTTAATGGAGTAAAGTTCAGTTAAGGGAAGTTACTTCTACAGTATGACCCAGCTAGTCAGGCAGGGGTAGACCTAGGACTAAGACCAGGACTGAAGCTGGAATTCAGTGCTTTTTTCTTATAGACTTTAGTTTGTATGATACCCGGTGAGAAAGCTTGAAATCTTATTCCTTGACTTTATTATTTAATATAAGGTTATGAATGACAGTTTGTCTTTTCCTTTGGTCATAGCTGGCAAAAGAATGATTTCCCTCTGATTAATTCAAATGAGACAAAGACACTCAGATTTCTTAAGTAAAAAGTGCCAAGAACTAATCAATAAAAATCCGAGAACCATATGTTTTATATTCCCTCCATGAATACACGAGAGGAGATAAACAGTGTAATAAAGAAAACTTGCAGGAAATTTTTGCATTTTAGTGAGCAGATGCCACCAACATGAGTGTTCCCAGAGTTATACCTTACTCAGTAAGATAACCAATAGAGTTAGAAACTTTGCAAAGGTTATAAGTTGGTTTCTCAGTCAGGAGCAGCACACTCTGAGATTGTGATCTCACAGGACTCCTTGTTGGAAATAATGTCTGCAAGAGTGCATTTCTCCAAGTGCAAAAGGAAAAATCTTGATGGGCTTTCTTTCACCAGAAGTTAGAACGATCTGGTTTCAAAGCTAAATATTGACAGATTGTACTGGGGAAAAATAGAAGACCCGAGATGCCAACACTTATAACATGGAAAAGAGAAAAGGGCAGAAAGATCATTTCAATGAGGGTAATGTTTTACATTTTTCTGACAGATTACATGATAAGATGCTCTGTATTTATCATTTGGGGCAGAATTTTAAGGAACATGCTGACTTATTTGGATTTTTAATTTGTAATTCCTCTGAAGATGATGAGTAAGAATAGTTAGGAAGAATCCCAGAAACATTTATTGTGGCATTAGGATCATCCTCTCTTATTTTAGAAGACAAAACCGCATAGTTAAAACTACCACAGCAGCGACAAGAAGCACCAGCACCCAGATAAGTGGGATCTGCTTCTCACAGGCCTCAGTTTCCCTGGTATGAAGTGAGGGCCCTTCTCGCCTCTTCCATTGTTATTTTACTGGTGCCTCCTGCTTTTGCACAGACTTTGTTTTCCAGAATGGTTTCTGAAAACAACCTCTTGCTTCATGAGGTCTCATTCTCTGAGGATTATGAAGCTGGGGCATTTGGAATGGAAGGATGTGAGCAACAGCTGCTCTGCACCTGTGTGCACCTGTGGGTCTGGGCCTGCACCTGGGAGTTTGCCTATGGGTCAGGTGGTGTCCCTCATGGACTTACTCTTACATTTTTCTGTCCCACTCCCAGAGGATGTAGAGAATTGTCTCTTTAGCAGCATGAAAAATAAGTTAGCTTTTGTGAGGAGATTCTTTTCTTAAAGTTGAATATGAATATATGAACTAAGTTGGAGGGGGTATATTTAGATGATGAGTGGAGGAAATTAGGATTTTTCTTCCTTGGGTCTTAGAGTACTGGCATTCCCTAATGCTGAGGGCTAATTGAATCCCTGCTCTGTATACTTAAAAACAGCCTAAATCAGTTTCTAAAGGTTAGATGTGAAATGGCAAGTATATGAAAGGTATTTATAAAAAGTGTGTGTGAAGTTTTTTTTGTTTTGTTTTTTATCTAGGAGGATCTCATTTTCAGGAATGAACGCCTTGTTTTTTTCCTCTCTTCAGATTTTTGTTTGAAAAAAAATTCCAAACAAATTTAGTTTGAAAAAAATTTCTCCAGGGATAGATGAAAAGTTGGTTTGCATAGGTTAGAAGAGAGAAACAAAGGCCATGAGATGATTAAATCAAATATGTGACTGCAGACTAAAAGGTCATTTAGGTAGACTAGGATGTATGTAGCCTACTTATAAAATAGGAGTCTGTGTTTCCTATAAACTGTTGCATGCAGGTAGCAAGCTCTGATTAGACACTGTCTGACTCCAAACTCGATGGTCTTTAGGATGCTCCTGACTCCAGACTCCAGGGTCTGTGTTCTTGGGGAGCAGGACTTTCACTGCTGCCTCGTGATCGCCCCCGGTGGACAGGCAGGGGACTGCTAGGTTTATACTCGGGTTCGTCTCTGACTTGCAGGTTACGTCTGTGAGAGGAGAGATTTGCTGGTGAATGGCTGCTGTAACGTCAACGTCCCTGGCACGAAGCAGCACTGCTGTGACGGCTGCCTGCCCAATGGCTGCTGTAGCGCCTACGAGTACTGTGTCTCCTGCTGCCTGCAGCCCAGCAAGGTATGGAGAGTTGCTCATTGTGCTGCATCTCCTTTAATTTTTCTGCTTGCATTTCACATTGAGCATTAGAATCTTTCTGTGGGATTCTTTGAAAATAGAAGAGAACCCTGTCTGGATGTCAGAAATGGCTGCTATGAGGTAGCCTTTGTCTGCAGGGGAAGGAGGTAGTTCTCTTTCCTCCAGCTGTGCTTTGGTAGAGTGGGCTGTTGTAGTCTCAGTCAGATGTCTAAAGAATAGGACATCAGCCTCCTGCTCATGTAAGCCCCTCTTTCTCTCCCTCCCCTCCCTGCATCAGCAGTCTCTTAGTTTAGGAGAAGTTTCCAAGGTTACCTTGTGCTGCTGAGTTTGGAATTTATTATAGGTACTAACTTTTGTTTCCACAGCAACTCCTCCTGGAGCACTTCCTCAACCGGGCAGCTGTGGCATTCCAGAACCTCTTCATGGCAGTCGAAGATCACTTTGAATTGTGTTTGGCTAAATGCAGGACCTCATCCCAGGTCAGAAGCCATGATGCCTCTGGTGGTGGGGTGGGCCGGTGGGAATCAAAGTCTGGAAGAAAACTTGAAAATCCGCTCTGGGGGCCCTTTGGTGGGGTGATAATGGTGAAGAGATTTAAATGGAACTTTGGGGGATTGATTGTACAGTCATCCCTTGGTATCTGAGGATATTTGGTTCCAGGACCCCAAATTCCTAAATGCTCATATAAAATGACATAATGTTTGCATATTACCTCCCTCCATCCTCCCGTATGCTTTAAAGTGTTTCTAGGAAAGAAAAAAAAAAAAAAAGCGTTTCTAGATTACTTATAATAACTAACACAGCGTAAAGGCCATGTTTTGCTTTTTGGAACTTTGTGGAGTTTTTTTGAAATACTTTTGATCTCCGGTTGATTGAACCCATGTATGCAGGCCCTGTGGATATGGAGGGCCGACGGTATTTAGAATGTCAACATGAGATTTATATGATTTAGGTATGTAAAATATTTATATTTATTCAAATCAAGGTCTAACTAACTTGCATCTTCCTTGTCTAATTAGCTTGTTTGCATTTTAAGTCCTACTAGTCAAATTCCTGAGAGAAGCTCTCTCCTCTGTCTTTGAAATTTGACTAAGGCTTTCCAGCTACCACTCATTTAGAGTGGGTACTAAATTATTCTGGGACAAAAATGTGATTTATTTTAGGATTCAAGGGCATGGGGCAGGTGGGTGTTGAAAAATACACAGATAAATCTGTAGGTTGTTAAGCTTTCAGTACTTTCTAGCATGTTGTCATTAAATGCTTTGCTCTGTGGGCATTCAGCATGGCACCAGCTGCTGAGAGTGTCTGAACCTTTTTGCCTTTTGACTCCCCGTCCTCTGCTCTCAGCCTTTGTGATCGGGTGGTGGTTGGAGCTCTCTCTGTAGAATCACCAGATCTGTTCATTATACAAGCACACTTCCTCTGGCTTTCCTTCATGGTGTCTCCAAGATTGACCTGGCTCTGTCTGAGATACATGACTCATTTGCCATTCTCTGGAACTCTTAAACCCTCTGCCAGATTTCTGTAGTCCTCCTCTGGGTTTTATGCTACTCTGTATGTCTCTGGTTTGCTCTTACGGCATCTAGCAATGTTGGGTAAATGTTTCAGGGATTATAATGAGTATTTGAAACATGAAGAAATTCCTAATGGCCTTGTTTTGCTGAAAGAGCTTTCCATTTGACTAGACTAAAGAAAATGTGGAGGAAGTTTGAACCCGTGACTTTGATTCATACTCTCATTCTGATAAATGGAAAATAGAAAAAAGGCCGGGTGTTTTCTTTCCTTAACTGATAAAACTCAGGAGTTAATTCCAAACTTGAGTGAAGATGCTGAACTTTCCGACTTGGCTTTTTCATTGTAAAGAGAAAATTCCCAGTTGCCAAGTTGCCTTTATAACAGTGTCCCAAGAAACAGATTTGGCTGCATGACTATAAATTGGATTAATACTTAACAATTTAGATGTTTAGGCTTGGTCTTAGACTAATTAATGAATTCTCGACTAGCCAAAAATTCAAGTTGCTCGTGTGAAGACAAATTGCTGAAAAATTAGGCATCGAGGCTGATTATCTGTAGTCACACTTCATTTGCTTGGCCAGATGTGGTCAAGCATTTGTGTGGTCATTTGTGTGGTATTGTGGTGTTTTGCTCATGTGCCAGCCCTTAGGTACACAAACCTTGATGGAACAGTTGGAAGTGCATCTCCTTCATCTCTGCAGGATGCAGTGCCGGGGACCGAATTATTTTGAAGCACAGGGTCAAGTGCAAAACACCTGTTGGATCTTAATCTGACTTAAAATAATATGAGGAAAGTTTATTGTCTCAAGTTGTCCCAGTCACAGCTGGGTTTTAAAAAACTCACTAGTGTGTGTAAAAGAAATGGTCCTGTGACACTCTGTCCTTTCTCATGCCCTTCGTTGGCGTTCCATGCTGAGCATCCGCCTTGCTTGCAGAGGGTGCCCTGGTGACGTTTTGGAGCTGGGCTCACCTGGGCTCCTGCAGGGAGCGTGTGCTGGCCGCCATCCCACTCTCTCTCACAGCGCTCTTCTCTTCCGTTTTGCCAACAGAGCGTGCAGCACGAGAACACCTATAGGGATCCCATAGCAAAGTACTGCTACGGAGAGAGCCCTCCCGAGCTCTTCCCCGCGTGACGCTGCGGGAGACTTGGCCCTCTGGGAGGATGTGCTGCTGAAGAACTTGCAGCCTGAAGCTTTTCTTTGGTCTTCGAGAGAAGACTTGATCATGACCACTTCTTGTGTTGTGCTCTGTGGCCTCACTCGCCCCCGGGCTGACCAGATGGACTTGCTCCGTAAAGCAGTTGGAAACGCCAGCGGGTCGCATTGGAGAAAGAGTAACGGCAGGTGACCTGGTGGAGGCGTCGGCGGTCTGGGCGCCTCAGCCCTGCGGCTGCTTGGGAACCTGTGGGCCCCCTTGTGTGTTCCCCCCGGGCCCTTCACTGTAAAGTTATTTATTGGACTTCTTTGGAGTGGTGGGAAAATTCTGTTTCCTGTAGGAAAATGTTTGCCTTGATAGTTGAATATATTCAAGGAGATTGTTGTTCTTGTTGTTGTTTTCTTGTGTTCTTGAGTTTCATGAATGAAATCGTCCCTTCACCCACTAAAACTTTGGCCTCTTAAAATATGCATGTTCTCTCAAGGTGGTTTATTTTTGGTTTTGTTTTGACAGCATCTTCAGGAGTGCGCCCTGACGTCTAAAATTGTCTAGAAACTCAGATGCTGTTCCCTTCTCTTCCTGTGCCAACTTTCTGGCATCTGGCACTGTGTGCTCTCAGGTTTTTTCCTAGTCTATTTGGATATGCTTGTTTACTGATGTGCATGCATTGTTGTGACCAGAAATTCTGCCTTGTCATCCTGGAGGGTTTTGTAATTGTTTCCTACACCCTGGTTGAAATGACTGGTCTTCTCAGCCCTGGAACATCAGAAGTCTCAAGAAAGTCACCTGTGGGGCGGCCTCCTCCTCTCCTGACATGGGAACCCTGTGTTAAGGTGATTCCCAAGTGAAGATACATCTCGCAACTGACTGTAAGTGGCCGTCCTTCATTGCTTTCAGCTTCGGGAGATGTAACAGGTACAGACATTTGGTTTTTCTCTGATTTACAGAGAAGAACAACAAAACTCAAGTTTCGGTCAAGGTGCTTTAGGAGACATCTACCGTCAGTGGATGCAGGACTCACAGGCGCTGGTCTGCTTGCTCAGGGCCTCCTGTGCTTCTGGTACAACAATAACCCTCTGGTCAATGCCAGCAGCATTTGGAGCTTAGATCAAGACATCGTGCCTGTCGCATAACACAGCTCTTTGCTCTCTGAAGTCACGCTATCACACACAGTTCTTTTCCAGAGCCCTTCACTAACCTCTGGATCCGTCAAGGTCTCCCTCGTTCTTTGTCGGTTGTTCAATTGCTGCCCTTGGAGCAGAGCACAGGTTTTACAGCCCGCTTTCAGCATTTTTATTTCAGTGGAGCTTTGCCTTCCTCTGTATCTCTGAAGTCTGCATGTTGGAATTTCCCTTAACTCTTTCACATTATTTCTCACCCTTATCCTCCCAAGCTAGTTGTCCCCCTAAGTCCACTTTCTTAGAGGGTAAACTGTCTGGCAAATGTTTTTAAATGTTAGATCCCAAGAAATTTATTTAGTGTGCATTGGGCTCTTTGGCTTCTGTGTGTGTTCTGTGAAAGCGTGAGTACATCTGCCTGTTTCATCATCTCACTGCTTTTGGTAACTCAGCCTGTTTCCTGGTGGTTGTCACTGATCAGCCTCTCCTTTGAGCTTATTTGAACCCTTGAGCAATAACTCACAGTAGATTTACTGTGGAAACAGTTTATATCAAAGATCAGCCATGCCTTTTACTCTGTATTTGAACATTGGTGTGCATTGTTTTGCATTTTCACTGCTTTCACAGTCTTTGTAACTTAGGTAGAAAATTAAGCTCGCTTGTTCCCACCTTGTACATGAGGTAATAGAGTTACGTGACTTCCCTGGGTCCCCACGACAGAACCAGAACACGACCTTCATCTGCTGCTCCGGGGTCCACCGTCCTTCCCAATGCCCCTTGCCCGCTCCATGGCTGAGTCATCTGTAAACACTCCCCCGAGAGCATATAGATTTGGATTGTCCAGACTGGAAGAGAGGAGAGGTGGCCTAAGTAGCCAAATTGGGTCGATAATCAAAGGTCGTTTTCATTCAGTCCTGGAATATGTTTCTCTGTACTGTAGTTAGTGAAGAGGTGTGTTAACTGTTTTTGGAAACTCATGGTACTGCAGACTGTAGCGAAGCCTCCCAAAAACCTGGAACATCATGGGCCTCCCCAGGCTTCCAGCCTGTACCCCTCTCTACTCCCATCTCTGGTTTGTCTCTGGTTCCTTTGATTGAAAATTTCCATAATTAGGAATCTTGTCTTAGTTTTGAATGCCCAGAGCTCAGCAAAGTGTGTGATACACATTGGATTTTAGGAAAAGATCAAAGATGAAATGAGAATTCCTTTAGAAGAAAATGTATTAAATTCCAAATGTTTGGTGTGAAAGGTAATTGGCTAATTTAAAGCACTTCCCCCAATTCTGAATCTTAACTGCCATGCTTGTTGGTGGAGCTGTAAAGATATATCCTGATAGGGAAAGAAACGTTCCGTGAAAGGGGTGCTATGCAGAAAGAGCCACCTGCCTCGACGCAGCCTGGAACTCAGGGTGGCCCTGGACCTGGCAGCGTTGGAGCTGGTATTGAAGGGCCAACTCTGCAGCTCTTGTAAAAGCGGGGGATAGGATTTTCGAACAGGGTTTGCAGCTTTCAGCCTGCTCCTGGAGCTGACTCGGAGACTGTCCAGGGAGCGCCTCGGTTGGTGAGGCTGCACAGGTGCTGTGGGAGGTGTGTGCAAGATTCCAAGCAAGCTGTTCCCATCGTTGGATTTGCAGGTAAATTGTAAACGGGCAGAAACGTTGCTTCTTTCATTTCCTCTTCACTGACTGGAGAGACTGTGGCCTTGCAGTCAGTAACTCCTGCTTATTACTAAGGCGGGGCCTTGGGCAGTCTTCTTTCCTCTTTTGACCCAGGCCCTGCTCTGTGATACAGGACCACACCCATGGCTCCTCGTGGAGTTGTTGTGAGGTGTCGGAGTGAGTGAGGGCTCAGTCGTGGCACAGAGTCCACATCTGCAACCCAGCAGGGGCCCCGCAGTAGGTGGTCAGCAAGGTTGGGAATGGGTGGGCCCCTCGGGTGGAAGGAAGGGAACTACAGAGTTCTGGGTATTGTTTTCATTACTATTTTTAGAAGAACTCATGCTAAAGATAATTTTTTAAATGGAGATAATTTAGAAATATGTCAAGATGAAAGTAATAATTACCTAAAATCATGCAATCTAGAGATCAGCCCGTGTTTTTTTTTCTCTTCCCTCATGACTTTCTAGGCAGATACGAGAATCCTGTTTCCTCTTGAAAGCGGTCCTCCGATGAACATTCTTCTGTGTGACATACAGGCCTGTCTAATAATCTTTAGTGATCACATGGTGTCAGTTTCATGGATATACAATAATGTTATTAATCCCCTGCTGAGGGCATTTAGCTTGTTACTTTTTTCTTTTTTGGCTACTGCAAGTAATGCACTGATGATATGCTTTCACGGGCACGGTTGTATGTTTATCTGAGAATGATTTTCACCAATTTATGCTCCCACCTAATGTATGAGATGAGTGTCTCTTTCTGCATACCCAAGAACCCCATAGTATCGTTTAACTCTTTGCCGACGGAGCTCAGTGTTCTAATTGATGTTTATCTGATTTCTTCCCATATTTTGATTGGTCATTTTATCATTCTGATGTAGTGAACTGCTGCTTGTGACCTTGGCCGGTTTTTCTCTCATTGGTCTTTATCTTACAGAGCGTTTTTCACTGAAGGAGGCCTTAAACCCCTTTTTTTGTCTTTGCCAGCCCTGCGTTTCTCAGAGGCAAGTGGCTTGTTTGTTAACAAACTAACCTTTCCACTTGATCTAGGGCAGCAAAACAGGGGCAGTTTTGCCCCCAGGGGACAGTTGGCAGTGTCTAGATTGCCAGGTGGTCAGTAGGTGTGATGGTTGGAGACCAGGGATACTGCTGAACACCCCACTGCCCCTGTGACACAGAATGATCTGGCTCCAAGCGTCAGTGGTGCCGACGTGGAGAGGCCCTACTCTTGGTCACATTTCCTCCATTTCAGTTAGAAAAAACTACCAGGAGCTGAGAGCTGACTTGATTATTTCCTTGCCCTTGCCTTCTGTTGTGCCCAAGTGCTGCTGATTAAATTACCTTGAAATCCCACAGGACATTCGGCTTCCTCGCTGGTCTCTACCAGCCCAGTGCTGCCTCCAGGAACTGGCTTATTACTCTGCATCAGCGTCCCTTGTGTGCTGACACAGCCCAAGCACAGACACCCTCCTGTGGGCAGAATAACCTCAAGTTTACTCACAGCCCCCTCTGCTACCCATTCTCCTGCAGCAGCCCTTTGCAAGGAGGGTTTTGGGGTGGGGGGAATGTCACTATAGATCCCATTTGGAAAACTAGTCCTTCTACTATAAATAAGTACCACATAAGTGAATAGTAATAATGAAAAGGAAAAGCTTTTGGAAAAGTGGAATTGTGGCAGTTCTTTCCTGCACAGCACTTTCCCTGACTCTCTGGCATCAGTCCATTGCTTTCCAAGCCCCTTGCCTGTGTGGACTCTTCATGCAGGGTTTGTTGTCACAGCGTAAAGACAGTTTGGGGTACCGGGATCCCTGTTTTCATTCAGTCACGTGGTTGTGATGTTTTTCGTCCGGTCTGCTTTCACAGGTGGGAAGAGGAACAGGTGGCCCCCTCAGGCCTGAGTGGGGACCAGCAGGGGTCATCGTGTTTGTGCAGCTGACTCCGTGTCCTGGTAGCCCCTCGCCACATACCTTCATGTGTACAGTTCGATTCCCCTCTGCTGTAGAGCTGCAGTGGTGGACTTTTTAAAAATAGAAGTACAGCCTTTAATATTATAAAGAAACAAAACATCTAGCCACTTAAAGAGAGTGGGCCCAACTGTCAGTCAGATGTTTAAACGGGTCCTATTTTGTTTCCCAGGACTGCAAGGTCAGTGGCTTCAAGGGAACCAAAAGCAAAACTGTATCACTGCAAGCAATGCATTTTAT